AGGCCTTTGCTGAGTACGAGCATTCAGCATCAGAGAGTGGAAGGTTAGGAGGGATGGTGAATACCCGACAGGAGTTGCCTTTGGGGGAGGGGATGGAGTCAGAGGGAAGTTGGGGGAGAGGAAGGTTCCAGAGGGCCTTGGGTATCTTTGAGTTGTTGCATCTTGTGGGCCTTGATGCCCGAAATGAAAAGAAAAAGTTTCTTTTTAGCACGTTGAATGACCTGGAGGATGAAGTGGAACTGCGGAGTGGTGCAGCCCTGAGCCAGTGTGATGCGATGCTGTTGGAGAGAGAGGTCGAGAGTGTGCATGTGACGCCACATGGCACTGAGTGTGGATCTCAGGATACGGCGAGAGCAGCTGTCTGTGGAATGTTGAACATCACGGAGATATCTGTGATCCTGGGTGGATTCAAAACACGAGGGATGTAACTTCAGCTGGAATCTACATGGGGTGAGTCTGAGCCGGAGGCAGTCACTGAGGAACGTGATATGGCTGTGGAAATGAGTTTTAGCATCTACTTGGTCAAACACCAGGACTGACAGTGAAATTAATGTCCGTGGGCAAGAAAAAAGATTGGAACGGAAATTTTGTCGGAAACTGGAGCAGAACTTCTTCAAGGTGGGTTATCCAAGGGCCCAATCATACCTTCCAGGTGAAGCAACACTTCACCTGCACTTCCCACAATCTAGTCTACTGTATTCGCTGCTCACAGTAGGGAAACGAAGCATAGACTGGGTGACCGTTTCGTAGAACATCTACATTCTGCTCACAGAAAAGACCCTGAGCTTCCAGTTGCCTGCCACTTTAACACATCACCCTGTTCCCTGGCCAACGTCTCTGTCTCTGGCTTGCTGCAGTGTTCCAGCGAAGCTCGGTGGAAGCTCCCTGGTCCACTCTCACTGGAAGTGCAGTTCTGAGGAAGGGTCACTGGACTCGAAACATTAACCCTGTTTTTTCCTTCACGGATGCTGCCACACCTGCTGAGCTTTTCCAGCAACTTTGTTTTTGTAACTTTGCTTTTTGCCTTTTTATTATCTTTTTAAACTTTGTCCAATATTTTGATGTACAAGTCATCTTTACAGAATTGTACAGTGTTTCCTTCAATTTAGTGCTGCCCTTAACTTCCTTATTTCAGCAGCAGATCATATTTCCAACCCTCCACGAGGAAATACACATCCCAACTAGGCCAGAGGGGGCATACATCTTAAATAATAATCAGGAGTTGAAGAATTCTAGAGCGGTGACAGTGGGGAACTTTAAGTGTTACTGTTTAAGATGCTGTGAGAACTCGGACAATTAACAATGGAAGAGGGTCCATTCCCAGTGACTTCCAGAATGGATCATGCCAATGCACATGTGTTGAAAGGGTGATGGTGTGGGTACACCATGCATGCAGCAGAAGCACAGAGTGGGCAGATATGATGTTAGTCAACGTCTAATGCTGAATTGATCGTGACCTGCATTTTGGAGTTCACTGGCACTGCTAACATCTTTTCTTAAACACCCTGTTCACCTGCATGAGGAACATTATCACTACTTAAATATATTGTTTTTCATATTTTGTCTGAAGTACGTTTGACTTTCAATTGCAACGCTGTTAGTGGATATACAGTGTACTGTATTGTTGAAGCAGGTCTTTTAATCAGAGAGGAGTAATACCGTCCTAAAAGATTTCTGAGCAGAAAATCTGCTCCCAGTCATGGGACCAAGGCTGCTGTTCCTGGGCTGAATCATCATGGAGAGGTGGGCAAGGCAACACAGAGGAGAAGCTGTTTGCAGAGAGAGGAGGAGGATGACTCTCAGTAAGAGACCTTACCCACTTCTCCCCCCTCCACCTCAGGGGTAGCGTCTGCAGTGGCAGCGCTTCCCCAAGGCAGTGGTCACAGAGATGTGCCACTTCCTCAAACTGGACCTGTTACCCTGGAGCAGGGCAAGAATGGCAGACCCTCTGGCCATCAAGATCTCCACGGCTGTCAATTTATATGTGATCCTTCTGGGCTTGAGTTATGATATCAAAACATTTCTCTGTTTAATGTGCATCTCTGTATCTGGAAGGTCACTGAGGCCTTGTACGTAAACTTTTCACTAGCTCCACCCTAAGAAGATTGTATGATTCTGCAAACACTGAATCACAAAGTGAAGATATACCGATACTGCAGAGGGATTGTCAATTTTCATTAAAACTAATTGTTTCGCTTTGAAATGATTTGAGACATATGGAAAGCTTAATGAGAAATGAAACTTCTTCCTGAAATTTTACAATTGTTTGAATACCGTTTCGCTATTTTGTTTCTATAATGCAATAAAGATAATCTAGGTCTATGCTTAAAGGCTTTACAAAATCTCATTTATCTGTCAGATGAGATGTAATGGTTTCACCTGCAGATTGCTTTTCAAGAGGTTTGTATCATAGTTAATGCTATGTGTATTGTACTTTATTTGTTAAAGAACGACTTGCATTCCTAGGTAATTTAATCAACCTGTTCAGAGATGTTATTACACACCTTTGAAACCGGTAGGTCTTGAACCCAGGCTTTTACTGGCTTAGGGTTAGGAACACCACCACCGCACCACAACACTCCCCAGGGCCCTAACATTAACTGTGTAAGTCCTGCCCTTGCTTGTCTTACCAAAATGCAACATCTCATATGTATCTAAATTAAAGTTCATCTGCCAATTCTGAGCCCATTGGCCCAATTGATCAAGATCCCTTTTGTAATCGTAGATTTTGTGCAACTTTGGAACTCACCGTTGAATATTTTTAAGACAGAGATGGATAGTTTGTTACTTGACAAGGGAAGCAGATGTTATTAGGGTTGATGGAAATGTGGAATTTGAAACACAGACAGATCAGCCATGACCTTGTGAGATGGTGGTGCAGGCTTCAGGGCTAAATGATTTATTAAGACCCTGAGATGTCAGAGCAGAAGAAAGCCATTCACCCCATTGGATTTGCTCTGCCGTTCAGTGAGATCACAGCTGACCTTATCACCCTCACTTCCACTTTCCTGCCTTTTGCCATACCTTCGATTGCCAAACAGATGAAAAAAACCTGTCTACCTCAGCCTTGAATATACTGAATGACCCAGCCTCGACAGCTCTCTACAGTAAAGAATACTACAGATTCACAATCCTCCAGGAGAAGAAAATCCTCCTCTTCTCTGTCTTAAGTGTGCAGCTCCATATTCTGAGATTATGTCCTCTGCTCCTAGACCCTTTCTGCATCTACAGAGACCCCCTGTAAAATCCCTAAGAATCTTGTATGTTCAATAAGGTTTCAATAAGGTCACCTGATATTTTTCTAAACTCCAATCAGTAGAGGCCCAACCTACTCAAACTCTGCTCATAAGACAGTTCTTCCATGCCTTAGATCAGCCTAGTGAACCATCTTTGGACTGCCTCCAACACCAGTATATCTTAAATAAGGGGCTCAAAACTGTTCACTGTATTTCAGCTGTGGTCTAATTAGTGCCTTGCACAGTTTTAGCAAGACGTCCCTCTTTTTTACACTATTCCCTTTGAAATAAAGGCCAGCATGTTACGAGGAAGGGTCACCAGACCCAAAATGTTAACTCCGGTTTTTTCTTCACAGATGCTGCCAGACCTGCTGAGCTTTTCCAGCAACTTCTGTTTTTGTTCCAGCATTCCATTTGCCTTGCCTATCACCCACTGAAATTCGATGTTGGCTTTTTGTGATTCATGCACGAGAACGCTCAAGTTCCTCTGTTCTAAAGCGTTCTCCAGTTTTCCCTCATTTGAATAATATTCGCTTCTCTATTCTTCCAGTTAAAATCATAACTTCACATTTCCCCACACTGTATTCCATCTGCCAAGTTTTTGCACACTCGATTAACCTTTCTATATCCCTCTCCAGACTCACTGTACTATCTTCATCACTTGCCTTCATCACTATTTTTTGTCATCCATAAACTTGGCTATAGTACATTCATATTAGTCATAAATATATAAAATAAATAACTGTGGTCCCTGCTCTGATCACTGTGGCACTTAACTGGTTATAGGTCGCCATCCTGAAAATGCCCCCTTATCCCAACTATCTTCTGTTAGGTAGCCAATCCTCTATTCATGTTAACATACTACCTCAAATATTATGGGCTGTTATCTTTTTAAGTAGCCTAATGTGTGCTAACTTCTCAAACAACTTCTGAAAATCCAAAAACATTACATCCACTGCTTCCCCTTCATCTATCCTGTCTGTTAACTCCTCAAAAGAATTCCAGTAAATTTGTCAACATGATTTCCCCTTCATGACATTATGCTGACTGTGCTTAATCACATTATGTATTGCTAAATTCTATTACATCCTTTCTAATAGACTCTGACATATTCCTAATAAAAGACATGAAGATAACCGGCTTATAGTTACCTTTCCTTGTCTCCTTTTTTTAAATAAAGCTGTTACATTGGTAGTTTTCCAATCCTCTGAGACTTGTCCAGAATCAAAGGATTCTTGGAAAATTACTACTTGTGCATCCACTAACTCTACAGCAACTCCCTTTAATATCATAGGTTGAATCTCATCTGGACCCGTGGACTTATCAGCTATAAGGCCCGTTCGTTTCACTTGTATTTTTTCTCTAGTGATATTTATAGTATTATTGCCTTTCCTCCTTTTCGTCCTTGGTTATTTAGTAATCCTGCTAGTTGAATTAAGAAGCAAATTTTACAAACATTCTGCTTGGTTGTTAATATAAAACATAATTCGTGCTGCATTTCACAGCAGTAATTCCTTTGTCGCTCTATCCATCTGTGTCTCTAAAAGAAACGCTTCCTTTATTAAGTTACAGTGCCAAGGTGTGAAATTGTCACTTGATTTTCAATAGGTTTCCATTTTGTTTTCTTATCCATGAGACAACAAGTTCCATAGACCTCTAGGCTGTCTCTCTTTAAAGTTAGACTAGGTATCACAAGCTTAATCGTTTTAACTATACCTGTTGGAAGTGTACAGTAGATATAACACATTGTCTTTGTTTCCCCAGGTCATGGCCCATTTTCACACCTGTTTGATCGAAAATTTATCCGTAAAGCTCGAGGAAATGACTTCGCCTGGAAGGTAATACTAACTGTCATGCCTAAGGAATGCTGTGTACTACTAGAAACAGTGAGGTCAACTGTAAGTCATTATCATAATAATAGGGGTCTACCTTCCAGCAAGTATTTATGAGACATAACTTACCTGTACCCTAATAAGAACAGGAGTAGGCATTCAGCCTGTAAAGCTTGCTCCACCGTTCAGCTAGATCATGGCTGATCACTTATGTTCCCATATGATTTCCTTAGCCTTAGTCTCCAGAAAACCATTCATTTCCACCAGGCACCTGCTCAATGATTGGGCCTCCACAGCTTTTTTGGACAGAGAATGGGCAAGATTTAGCATGTTCTGAGTAAAGAAATTCCTGCTCATCTCAGTCTTAAATTGCCTGTGTCATTTCTTGAGATTATAACTCTGGTTTAAAACTCACCAGCTTGGGAAACATCTTAGGTACATCTACCCTGTCAAATCCTGAAAGAATTTTGTAAATTTCAATGATGTAACCCCTCATTCTTTGAAACTTTACAGATTATAGACTCAGTCCTCAATCTGTCTGCCTTGTACAGTCCCACCATCCCAGGGATTACTCTGGCGAACCTCCAATGCATTCTTTTATGGCAAGTATATCCCTCCTTTGAGAATGGGACCAAAACCGTACACATTACTTTAGGCAAGGTCTCCTCAAGGATCTATACAACTGAAGCAAGACATCCTTACTTCTGTAATCAAACCACCTTGCAAAGAGGACCAACTTACCAGTTGCCTTTCTGATTGCTTCCACCTTTCTGTTTCTTTTCACCTTTCTGAATTATTTTCTATCTGACATGTTCTAGGCCATTTACTTAGCCCATTCAAGTCCTCTCAATGCCTCCTGGCATCTACTTTGCAACTTAAGTACCTGCCAAGTTGGGTATCGTCAACAAAATATGGAACATTACAGTTGATCCCATTTCCAAACTACTTATATAGATTGTAAACAACTGTGGACTAATACTGATCACGGTTGTACCTCACTAGTAGCAATCTGCCATCCTGAGAATGATCTGTTTGTTGATATTCTGTACATTTATCTGTTATCTACTTCTCAATCCATGTGAGTATAATTCCACAATCCCATGCCCTCTATTTTATTCACTAACTTCTGTGTGAGATCTTACCAAAACCTTCTGAACATCCAAATATGCCACATCTGTTTGTTGTCCCTTATTAATGCTACAAATAATATCCTCAAAAAAACTCCCAACAGTTTTGTCAAACAAGATTTCCATTTAACAAAAACATGTTCACTTGAACCAATTTTACAATTATTTTCTAAATGCCTAGTTATCACAGCCTTTATAACAGATTCCAATATTTTCCCTACTGACATCAAACTGACTGTTTGTGCTTCATCATTCTCCCTTTTCCTCCTTTCTTAAATTCTCAGCTTACATTTTCTGCCTTTCAGTCAACCAAAGCTTTTCTGGAATCTATAGGATTTTGAACGATATTCATCAATGAGTGAATGCATCCATCATCTCTCTAACCTCCTCCTTCAGCACTCTTGGCTGAAGCTCATCTAGACCAGGGGATTTATTAATCTTCAATCCAGTTAACTTTTCTAGTACTACGTTTTTGCTAATACTCATAATTTATAGTTTCACAAATCCCTTTGTTGGCTGGTATTTCTGGGAGAATTTTGTATCTTCTTCAGTGAAGGTAGACACAAAGTGATTATTTAATTTCTCCACTATAATTCTCCTGCCCCAACTGTAACAGGCCCACATTTGTCCTAGTTATTTTTCTCCTTTATATACACTCAAATAAGCTTTTACACCTTTAGGTAGCTAACTAGTTTGCATATATATGTTCTCTTTTCTCTTTCTTAATGAGCTTCTTGGACCTCCATTGCTCTGTTTTTTAATTGTTTCCAGTCCTTAAGCTTACCATGTTTCCTGGCATCCTTATAAACCACTTCCTCTGATCCAATGCAGTATTTAACTTCCTTCATTAACTGTGGCTAATTGCACCTTTCCCTCTGGGTTATTGTGCCTCAGAGAAATGTACATATTGTAGACCGTGTGGTATTTATTTAAAATCTAGCTGTTGACTGTCTACCATTAAATTCTTCAGTGTATTTTCTCAAAGGGTCCATTACAGCAAGGTTAATAAATAGCCCTTTCTCATCATACAACTCTAAATCCAATATAGCCCAATCCCTAGTTGATTCCTTGATAACCTGCTCCAGAAACCAGTCTTGTAGGATATCCAGAAATTCATTGTCCACAACGTTCATGCTAATTAACTCAGTCTATGTGCAAATTGAAATCATTCATTATTAATGTATTACCTGTGTTACATACATCCCAACTTTCTTGATTTATATGTTGCCTAACAATCCCACTCTAGTTTGATTGCCTATAAACGACTCTCACCAATGTTTGCTGCCCCTTGCTGTTTCTTAGTTCCATCGTGACAATAAAACCTAAATCTAAATCCAAACTGATTCGACATCTTGATCCTTTGCTCTAAGATCCTCTGTTACTAATGTACGGCTTTTGTCCCTTATTATGAATGTTGTCCTACCTACTTTTCCTTTTTGCCCATCCCTCCTAAATTCTGAATATCCTTGAATGTTCACTTCTTGATCTTTTTCACCCTGCAGCCACATCTCCACAATGGCAATGAAATTATATCTATTTAGCTCAAATTGTGCACTTAAATCATCAAAATGTCTGTGACTATTATGCTCATTTGGATAAAGAGCCTTGAATTCAGTTTCTTTTTTAAAATTCTCCGTTTTTTTGATTCTGTTTACTAGTTTACCTAAGTTTGGTGCCTCTTGTGTTTTTGCTTTCTACTTTTCTACATCCTTTAACCAGTTTTGTATCCCTCAAGTCTGAGCTCCTGTTGCAGTTCCCATTCCCCTGGTAATGTAGTTTTAACCCCGCCAAATCTCCCTGCAACAATGCGGTTCCCAGGTCTGTAAAGATGCAGACCATTGATGTTTTGCAGGCCCAAAGTATCACAGGACTAGTCCCCATGCCTCAGAAATTTGATGCCCTCCCTTGTAAACCAATTCTGCACCGAAATGTTCAATCATTCAGTTCTCCTGTCTCTATCCTCTTAACCACAGTACTTGAAATAATCCTGAGATTACTGCTTTCAACGTCCTGCTTTTCAACCTCCTTCCTAGCTCCATCCCTGAAATCTGCTTTCAGGACCTCATTCACTTCCTACCTAAATTGTTGTTCTAACATGGATCATGGCTGTTCAATCTTTCCCTGCAAACCACCACCACTCCCCCCACCCCATAGCATTCTTGGCAAAAGGGAGATAACATACCATCCTGGAGTCACATTTACAGTCAAGAACTGCCTGTCCATTTACCTAATCAACAAATCATATATCACTTTTGCTTTCCCCTCTTCTTCTTCCCTTCCTATACAGCTGAGCCACTCACAGTGCCTAAACCTGTCCCTTACTGCACTCCTCCAAGCTAAGTGGTGTATAGAATGGAAAACTGTTCAGCAAGTGGGACCTCAGGGGACCCCTGTAGTACCTCCCTGGTAATCTTGCGTGGACACCCATTCACTTGCTGCCTGCATATTCTAGCATGTGAAGTGATCAATCTCTGAATGTAGTATTCATGTATCTCACAGCTTCCTGGTGACTCCAGCTGCCACTCAAACTCTGAAACCCATAGGTCAAGTTTCTGCAGCTGGTGACATTTCTTTCACATATGATTATCTCGGTCACTGGTAACATCTATGAGTTCCTGCATACAACAGGACACAAGTTATTCTCCTGCTATTCAAAACCCTGGTTTGGCCACATCTGGAGTATTATGTTCAGTTCTGGTCGCCTCATCACAGGAAAGATGTGAAAGCGTTGGAAAAGGTGCAGAGGAGATTTACCAGGATGTTGCATGGAATGGAGTGAAGGTCTTACGAGGAAAGGTTGAGAGAGCTAGGGCTTTTCTCTTTAGAACGACGAAGGATGAGAGGTGACTTGATCGAGGTGTACAAAATGATCAGAGGTATTGATAGAGTGGACGGCCAGAGACTTTTTCCTAGGGTGGAGGGAGCTATTACGAGGGGGCATAGTTTTAAAGTGAAAGGAGGTAGATATCGGTGAGATGTCAGAGGTAGGTTCTTTACTCAGAGACTGGTAGGGGTGTGGAATGCATTGCCAGAGAGGGTACAGGAGTCGGCCTCATTTGGACATTTAAGCAGCTATTAGATAGGCATATGGATGATAGTATAAGGTAGGGGTGGAGGTTAGATAGACCTTAGGTTTAGGGTAAAAGTTTGGCACAACATCGTGGGCCGACGGGCCTGTACTGTGCTGTACTGTTCTATGTTCTATGTTCTATGTATTCTGTGTGACTGAGCTGTCCTGTCATCCCTTAATTATATTTCAGTTATGTTGCCTTAATCTTATTTTGGATTACTTATATTAACTTTATTTTGCTTGCCATTACCTTGACCTTAATAATGTTACAACAATTGGTAAACTTTACTAGACCTGATAAATACAAGTAATATTCAACAAACCTTACTGTTTACGATAATTCTTCCGGACAGCACTTTTTCTGTCTGTTCACTGAATTCCCATGTGAACCTAATTCACTATTCACAAGGTCTACATCACATTCAGGTGTAGTTCCCTGACCCCTTACTGACGTAAGTAAAAATATGTTCAGCTTTCATTCGTGTTCTTTCTGAACTTCATTGGTACCTGGTTCAATTTTTCAATTTTAAAATGCTGATCTTCATTTTCACATCCCTGCATAGTCTCACTCCTCCCTCATGTCTACCGCCTCCTTCCTCTTCTAGCCCTATTTCATGAAACTTTTGTCCTTTGTACATCTACAATTTTAAATACTTGACCATTGACAGCCATGCTTTCAACCATTCAAGTCTTAAACCCTGGAATTTGCTCTCCATATCTTTCTGCTTTATGTATATCTCTCTTTAACTCATTCCTTGCAACTAACTCTTTGACTAAATGTGTCGAATATTGCCTGGTAGATGCCCTGCAAAACACATTTTGTTAAAAGTGCTTCAGAAATGCACATTGTTGTGACTTGGAAGTGGCACTACTGCCCATGAGTCTGAAAGACTGGGGGCTCAAGTCTAATTCCATTAACTTTGGGCCTTCAATCTTTCCTGGAAGTGAGATCAGTGCAGCCACACTTCGGATAATGTGGCAGTGTTGTGATGCCTGTAGGGTGTTACCACTTAAGAGTTTAGGGGGAATGAGAAACCCACTTACTACCAATTAAAAATCCATTAAACTCATTGAGGAGTTAGTTAACAAACTGGGGAGGACCAGAAGGTGATTTTGAAATCGCATGTGCATGAAACCATTGATTGCTTCTGAGTACAGTGGGGGGGAAGAGCCATTACTTTATGAAAAGGGTGAGGAAGACGTGTTTGTAGAATGGGTTATTAGATCAGAGCAGCTGTGATACCTTTTTGCTGTTTGGTCATTTTTCTTCATAATGAGGTTGTTGCTGTCCTGCCCTCCTGTCTCATATATATATACTGCAAGGCAGCAACAACACCAGGCATAGCTGTCTTCTGCCTTTGAGGGATATTTTCAGCAGTCAGTTCCCAAATCCTAGCAATATCCAGCACCATAAATTAGGTGCTAATCTCAATTGTGGCTCAGTTAGGTGAAATTAGAAGATGGCATTGTGGGATCAAAAATGGAAATGATCCCAAGCATCATGATCCTAACCCCAGACTGGCACTCCAGTTTAGCCCTGCAGGACCACTATGTTTGACATGTTGCCTCTCATGTGAAATGTTAAGAAATATTTGTTTGATGGATATAGAAGATCCCATGCTACTACTTTGAAGATCCAAAACTTCCCTGGTTTGCCAGCCAATATTTATTCTCATTCAACTTCACAAAGCACAAATCAGATTGATCTGCTTCTTATCACGTAGCTGATTGTGGGAGCTTGCTGTGCACAAACTGGCAGCTATGTTTCCCCACATTACATGTGTGACTGCACTTCGATAGTATTCATTGGCTGCAAAGTATTTTGTAACATCCTGAGGTTATGAAAGTTCCCATATAAATGTGAATCTAATTTTCTTTTCTTCCTAAAGTACAGATTTTGTTTGTGAGGTTCTCCTGTCCCACTTATCTTGCAAATTCTGTCTTTTTTCTGCTGACTTTTCTCTTCCCTCCCTCCTGGTTAAACTTCCTGAGACAGATCCATTGCCAGAGAAATGGTGATGGTGGGCTAATATTCCTTTGTGCCTTTAAGTTTCATGAATAGGAAACAAAATCTGAATGTCACAGAAGGATTTAGATAGGCCCTGGTAACTGAAGATGCCCAAATTGTTTATCCTAGAATGGAGTTTTCAGTCTAAGACTGTGTGTCTTAATGCTTGAGTGAGATACAGTAGGTTTCATTTATTCTTCGTCTGAACTGAATGATGACCTGATCTTTGTTGTTGTACCCAGCACGAGGAAGGCTCAAGAGCCATGTTTGACCACATGATCAAGACCAATAAGCTGGAAGCTGATTTCAAGAACTATGGCCTGGTGTTACCAGAAGACCTTGACTTTATCAAAGAGCAGATCGCAGGACCAGAAGAGCCCAATAATGATTTGGTGAGTGTTGATTCTCAACCACTGGAAAGGGAACTGCTTTAAAAATAATAATGCACACATTTTTCTTTGTTTTTGTACACTGACTCTACTGCAGACATTCTATTGGCAAATTAGTGGAAAGGCCCAACAATAAAATTCAGTTGATGGAACTGAGCCATATGGAACAGGGAGGCCACAGATTTAATTTGTGTTCTGTGCTGGTTTAGACGAACAGTGATGGGGAGTAAAACAGTTCAGTCGTGTCATAGTTATATTACTGGACAGTAATTCAGAAACTGAGAGTTCAAATTCCACTGTGAGAGGTTAATAAGTTTTTTTTTAAAAGTCTACAAATTGAAAAAAAATGGAACGGAAAATGGGACTGGGAAGTCATTGAAATGTTTTACAAATCATTCATGTCCTTTAAGGAAGGAAACCAGTCCTTCCTCATGTAGGTCTAAAGCAATATGTGGCTTTAGTCCCACACTAACCCATATGGCTGAGTTGTCCTTTGAAGTGCCTTAGCTGGTTAAGAACATAGAGCATAAAACAGTACAGCTCAGTACAGGCCCTTCGGCCCATGATGTCGTGTCGACCTATTATCCTACTAAGATCAATCTACCCTGCATACTCTACATTTTACTATCCTCCATGTGCCTATCCAAGAGTCGCTTAAAAGTCTGTAAAGTATGTGACTCCACTACCACTGCTGGCAGTGCATTCCCCATGCCCACCACTCTCTGTGTGAAGAACCTACCTCTGACATCTCCCCTATACCTTCCTCCAATCACCTTAAAACTATGCCCCCTCGTAATAGTCATTTCCGCCCTGGGAAAAGGTCTATGACTATCCACTATCTATGCCTCTCATCAACTTGTACACCTCTATCAAGTCACCTTTCATCCTTCTTCGCTCCAATAAAAAAAGCCCTAGCTCCCTCAATCTTTCCTCATAAGACCTGCCTTCCAGTCTAGGCAGCATCCTGGTAAATCTCCTCTGCACTCTCTCTAAAGCTTCCACATCTTCCCTATAATGAGGTGACCAGAACTGAACACAATATTCCAAGTATGGTCTAACCAGAGTTTTATAGACCTGCAGCATAACCTCAGGCTCTTAAACTCAGTACCCTGCCAATGAAAGCCAACACACCATACGCCTTCTTAACAACCCTATCAACTTGGGTAGCAACTTTGAGGGATCTATGGATGTGGACCCCAGGATCCCTCTGTTCCTCCACACTGCCAAGAATCCTGCCATTAACCCTGTATTCTGCATTCAAATTCGACCTTCCAAAATGAATCACTTCACACTTTTCTGGGTTGAATTCCATCTGCCACTTCTTTGACCAGTTCTGTTTCCTGTCAACGTCCTGTTGCAACCTACAACAGCCCTCCACGCTGTCCACAACTCCACTAACCTTTGTATCATCGGTAAACTTACTAACCCACCCATCCACTTCCTCATCCAAGTCATTTATAAAGACCGCAAAGATCAGGGGTCCCAGAACAGATCCCTGCGGAACACCACTGGTCACCGAGCTCCAGGCTGAATACTTTCCATTTACTATCACCTTCTGTCTTCTATTGGACAGCCAGTTTTGTATCCAGACAGCCAAATTTTCCTGAATCCCATACCTCCTTACTTTCTGAATGAGCCTACCATGTGGAACCTTACCAAATGATTGCTAAAATATGTGGCATATGTTAGCAAGGCATTTGATAAGGTTAATCGCTTGTATAAAATCTGCATTCACAGCAATGAACTTGGGACGACTTTGCCAGTAATTCACGTTTTCCAGGAATTCATGTCAAGATGTTTTTGGGTGGCACAATGGGCTTCCACAGCTCTGGGAATGAAAGGAAATGATTTGTCAGTTTCAAGTTGCACTTTGCTGTCAATGATGCCTGATTGAAAGTGTGCATGTATAACGTTGGATAAAGATAAGATTGTGTTTTTGTCGGATGCCTTCCATAGTTCATTAGTAAAACTTGTATTTTTAAAAAAACTACTAAAACAGAGGGCACAGATGAAAGAACTGACAATGGAGGACAGAGGTTTTGTGGTTGAATTTTACAGATGAGTGCCTCATCACCAGTATACCACCATCCCATTGCTTAGAAGGAAAGTCAGTTCTGCAGCAACTGATGTTCAATTATAATGAGGCAGTCCTGAGGGGGAAGTTTGATTTCTGCCCCCTTGTGAGAAGCTGAACATTAGTGGAGACATGGAGACATAAAGTCATAGAGACGTACAGCATGGAAACAGACCCTTCAGTCCAACTTGTCTGTGCCGACCAGATATCTTAAACTGATCTAGTCCCATTTGCTAGCATTTGGCCCATATCTGTCTAAACCCTTCCTATTCATGTACCCATCTGGATGCCTTTTAAATGTTGTAATTGTACCAGCTTCCACCACAACCTCTGGCAGCTCATTCCATACTCGCACCACCCTCAGCATGAAAAAGCTGCCCCTTAGTCACTTTTAAATTTTTCCCCTCTCACCTTAAATCTATGCCTTCTAATTTCAGACTCCCCTATCCTGGGATGAAGACCTTAGCTATTCACCCTATCTATGCCCCTCATGATGTTATAAACGTCTGTAAGCTCATCCCTCAGCCGCTGACGTTCCAGGAAAAATAGCCCCAGCCTATTCAGCCTCTCCCTATACCTCAAACCCTCCAACCCTGGCAACATCCTTGTAAATCTTTTCTGAACCATTTCAAGTTTTACAGCATCCTTCCTACAGCAGGAAGACCAGAATTGAATGCAGTATTTCAAAAGTGGCCAAGCCAATGTCCTGTACAGCCACAACATGACCTCCGAACTCCTATACTTGATGCACTGACCAATAAAGGCAAGCGCACCAAATGCCTTCTTCACTATCCTGTCTACCTGTGTCTCCAATTTCAAGAAACTATGAACCTACACCTCACGGTCTCTTCGTTCAGCAACATTCCCCAAGACCTTACCATTAAGTGTATAAGTCCTGCCCTGATTTGCCTTTCCAAAATGCAGCACTGCATAGTTCTCTAAATTAAACTCCATCTGCCATTCCTCAGCCCATTTGACCATCTGATCAAGATCCCATTGTAATCGGAAATAACCTTCTTCGGTTGTCCATTGCACCATCAATTTTAGTGTCATCTACAAATTTACAAACCATACCTCCTATATGCACGTCCATATCATTTGTATAAATAAAAAAAATGCAGTGGACCCAGCACTGATAGTTGTGGTACACCGGTGGTTACAGGTTTCCAGTCCAACAAGCAACCCTCCACCACCACCACCCTCTGTCTCCTACCTTCAAGCCAAGTTTGTATCCATATGGCTAGCTCTCCCTGTATTCCATGTGATCTAACCTTGCTAACCAGTCTACCATGTAAAATGTTGTCGAACGCCTTACTGAAGTCCATATAGACCTCATCAATCCTCTTTGTCACTTCTTCAAAAAAAACTCAATCGAGTTAGTGAGACACAATTTCCCATGCACAAAGCCATGTTGACTGTCCTAATCAGTTCTTGCCTTTCCAAATGCATGTAAATCCTGTCCCTCAGAATCCCCTCCAACAAATTACCTACCACTGACATCAGGCTCACCAGTCTGTGGTTCCCTGGCTTTTCCTTACGACCTTTCTTAAATATTGGCCCCACATTAGATAACCTTCATCAATCTTCTTCGTCACAGCTTCGAAAAATTCAATCAAGTTAATGAGATGAGTTGGGCCCCTAACAAGGCATTTAACAAGCTATAATCCCCCTTCATTGGCAAATCACTGCTATTTAGTGATAATCTCGCATCATGCTCAGGAAAAGCATAAAGAATGAAGTGAGTTACTCTCAATGTTAAGATATGCCCCACCAGACTTTTTGTCTGATCCTGCCACAAATCTCGCCCTAGCCCATGTCACTCATATGCTTTTCAGATTCTGCCCAATGAATTCAGACACCGAAATCCATCTCTATTTCAAGATGCTGTTTATGGCAGAGAGACAGAGAAGAATCTAAATATGCAGACCTGAAAGGCTGAGAACTCTCTCTCCCTATTGCTCAAGAAGAAAAAGCATGTGGAGATAATACGGATCAAAATAAAACATCAGAACATCGAAACTGCAAAGGATAACAGAAAATATTAACCAGATGGACCACCTGGCACCAACACAAAAACTAGAATCAAAGCCGAATCCAGTGAACCCTGTAAAGTCCTCTGAACATCTGGGAAGCTGGGCTAAGACAGGGCCGATGATCCAAGACAGTAACCAAATACCCCAATGCCTCAGGTTAAAACCTTACATCTCAAGGATGCCTGAAGTAATTTAAACTGTACACTCCTTTCATCTTCCTTTTGTACTGGACACTATCCCTTTCTAACTTTATACTTGTGAGTGTGTATGCTTGACATCACATCTTTATGATTTGTCCTGAGGTTAGCAGATAATAAAATTCCTCTCCCTTTTACTTAAGAAAACCTTCTAATTGGCTCCTTATTATATCAGTGGAAATTAATTGACTACATTTTAATTGGAGGAGTATAGTTTTGTCCTATAAAGAATGTAATTCTTTGTTGTGGCCTGTATAGATGCTGTGAGACTTCACAAGGTTTGGAGCCATTGCTGAGAACTCCCAGGATGACTCCCTTATATATCATTGTGCCATCACCTCTGTCCATATGGGACAGCTTTCTAGTCTTAGCCCAGCTTCCCTGATATTCAGAGAACTTTACAGGGTTCACTGGGTTTGGTGTTAATTCCAGTTCTTGGGTTGGTGCCAGGTGGTCCATCTGGTTATATTTTTTGACTTTACAAAACAGTGGCCTGGTACAACTAAACAATTTACTGGGCCATTTCTGAAGGTAATTAAGAGTCAACCTCATTTTTTGTGTCCAAGTCATATGTAGACCAGACTGAATAAGGACAGCAGGTTTACTTCCCTAAAGATAATTAGCAAAACAAATGGGCTTCTACAACAACGTAACAGTTTCCTGGCCACCATTCCTGAGACTAGAATTTAATTCCAGAATAATTAATTGTATTTAAATTTCACCCGTTGCTGTGGTGTGATGTGAACCCATGTCCCAGGATTACCCTGGATCTGCAGATTATTAGACTAGCAACATCAGATTATGCTACCAGTCAGCTGTTCACCACGATAAGTATTGTTACCTCTGCCAACCTTTTGGCCAATGAATTCTAGACTTTCACCTCACTCTAGGTGAAAAGAATTACTCCAGTCCCTTCTACTCCTCTGGCAATCATTTTCAATCAATTCCCCCAGTTAGTGGCCCAACTGCGAAGAGAAATAGAACATAGAACATAGAACATAGAACATTACAACGCAGTACAGGCCCTTCGGCCCTCGATGTTGCGCTGACCTGTGAAACCAATCTGAAGCCCATCTAACCTAAACTATTCCATTATCATCCATATGTTTATCCACTGACCATTTAAATGCCCTTAAAGTGGGCGAGTCCACTATTTTTGCAGGCAGGGCATTCCACGCCCTTACTACTCTCTGAGTAAAGAACCTACCTCTGACATCTGTCCTATATCTATCACCCCTCAATTTAAAGCTATGTCCCCTCGTGCTAGCCATCACCATCCAAGGAAAAAGGCTCCCACTGTCCACCCTATCTAATCCTCTGATCATCTTGTATGTCTCTATCAAGTCACCTCTTAACCTTCTTCTCTCTAACGAAAACAGCCTCAAGACCCTCAGCCTTTCCTCATAAGACCTTCCCTCCATACCAGGCAACATCCTGGTAAATCTCCTCTGCACCCTTTCCAATGCCTCCACATCCTTCCTATAATGCGGTGACCAGAACTGTACGCAATACCCAAGTGCGGCCGCACCAGAGTTTTGTACAGCTGCAACATGACCTCATGGCTCCGAAACTCAATCCCTCTACCAATAAAACCTAACATACTGTACGCCTTCTTAACAATGCTATCAACCTGGGTGGCAACTTTCAGTGATCTATGCACATGGACACTGAGATCTTTCTGTTCATCCACACTACCAAGAATCTTACCATTAGCCCAGTACTCTGTATTCCTGTTACTCCTTCCAAAGTGAATCACCTCACACTTTTCCGCATTAAACTCCATTTGCCACCTCTCAGCCCAGCTCTGCAGCTTATCTATGTCCCTCTGTAACCTGCAACATCCTTCCGCACTATCCACAACTCCACCAACTTTGGTGTCATCCGCAAATTTACTAACCCATCCTTCTACCCCCTCATCCAGGTCATTTATAAAAATGACAAACAGCAGTGGCCCCAAAACAGATCCTTGAGGTACACCGCTAGTAACTGAACTCCAGGATGAACATTTCCCATCAACCACCACCCTCTGTCTTCTTACAGCTAGCCAATTTCTGATCCAAACCGCTAAATCACCCTCAATCCCATGCCTCCGTATTTTCTGCAATAGCCTACCATGGGGAACCTTATCAAACGCTTTACTGAAATCCAAATATACCACATCAACCGCTTTACCCTCATCCACTTGTTTGGTCACCTTCTCGAAGAACTCAATAAGGTTTGTGAGGCACGACCTACCCTTCACAAAACCGTGTTGACTATCCCTAATCAAATTATTCCTTTCTAGATGATTATAAATCCTATCTCTTATAATCCTTTCCAACACTTTACCCACAACCGAAGTAAGGCTCACTGGTCTATAATTACCAGGGTTGTCTCTACTCCCCTTCTTGAACAAGGGGACAACATTTGCTCGTCTCCAGTCTTCTGGCACTATTCCTGTAGACAATGACAACATAAAGATCAAAGCCAAAGGCTCTGCAATCTTCTCTCTCGCTTCCCAGAGAATCCTAGGATAAATCCCATCCAGCCCAGGGGACTTATCTATTTTCACACCTTCCAGAATTGCTAACACCTCCTCCTTATGAACCTCAATCCCGTCTAGTCTAATAGACTGTATCTCAGTATTCTCCTCGACTACATTGTCTTTTTCCTGTGTGAATACTGACAAAAAATATTCATTTAGCACCTCTCCTATCTCTTCAGACTCCACACACAACTGTCCTTGACCGGCCCCAATCTTACTCTAGTAAATAGGTCCTTCAAATCCTATGTCCGGTCCTCTCATACTTTTATACACCTCAATTAAATCATCTTCTCAGTCTCTCTGTTCTAGCTAATCTACTCCCAACTCAGAAGTAAAATAAGCCAGTTCTGGAGAAATTTTCATGAGTTTGCTCTGTACATTCTTAATCAATCACATCCTTCCAGTAACAGAACTCTATACAAATTTCTATGTTCAGCTGAACACACACTTTATGAAGTAATAGCATAACATTGCTGCTCTAACTTTATTAATTGAGTTACAGGATACATTCCGTAGACACGTTAATCACCTTAATGATCTGACCAACTATCTTCAGGGAGCTGTAGACAATATGCTCCCAATGCCACTCTGTTCCTCTAAACTGCCAACTATCCTTCTATTTATTCTGTATTTCTATGCTTTCCTCAAATGCATTCCATCATACTTCTTTGCTTGCATTCCCTTTGCCATGTTTCTATCTATTGGAGTGGTGTGTTGATATCTTTGTGCAGTTTATATCTTCCTTCCTGACTTGAAACCACACAACCGATTTTTGTATCAAGCACAAACTCCTTAATTGCGTCTCTACATTTACGTCTAATCCTAAATTTCCAATTGACCTCCTTCTGCACCGTTACAGTTCTGTGATTCTGTAGTCCTGTGAGCTGTTTTCAGTATCTAACTCTGGTACCATATCTTTTCAGTGGCCATATAAAGGTCGGCCCAAAGAGAAAAGTTTTCTTTATGAAATCATTGCCAACAAAAGAAATGGGATTGATGTTGATAAGTGGGATTATTTTGTCAGGTAAGTCAAAGTTGTCTTTTAATCTCTCTGATCAGTTGGTGATGGACATTCATTAATCCATTGTTTCTCATAGTAAGCATTCACCATGAACATTGCAAATTTCATTAAAACCAAGTGTGGCATTTTCTGGACACAATGTTCATGATCATTGGGTCCTAATAGTGACAAACACAAACATATTCTCTGGTATGGAAGGCTGTATCGGAATCAGACATTTTAAGCTGCTGACTAAGCCCAGAACTTCAGGGTCATCAGAAATAGCTCCGTGGGAGGCCATACAGGTGACCCCACTGGGACCTGTCAGAGGATGCTCAGGACTTAACCCAGTTTCCTACTTGTTTTATTTCATGTTGCTCCTTCGAATGGTAATGAATGTCTGAATTTCTTTACTGCGGAGAGTTGTAGAGGCAAAATCACTGAAAGTATTTGGAGAGGAGGGAGATAGATTTTTCAAATATTAAGGAGTCGAAGGCTATGAGGAGCTGGCTTGAAAGAGGAGCTGAGGCCTGGGCAAATCATCAAAGAGCTTATTAAATAGAGGAACATGTTTGAAGGGCTGAATGGCCTACTGCTGGTCCTATTTCTTATGCTCTTATGTTCTTTTCCATTAAGCAACTTATTACAATATTCCAGTCCAACCCATTGACTAATGTCTTTATTTTGAGGTCATGAGATGATTCAGCAGGAAGTGTGGGGCATATTGACCAACATGATGTCAAGGCTGAGATTGACTGTATTTATCGTGTTTCTGAAGGGACAGTCACCATCTGGGAATCCAGAACAACTTTGACTTTCAACGCTTCCTTAGGTTTGCTCGAGTTTGTGAAGTTGATGGAACAAAGCAGATTGGCACTCGAGATAAAGTGATGTACATTGACAGATAGAATGGGAAGTCTTGTTAGTTTGTGGGCTATTTACTTATCTGATTTTCGCCACCTTCGCTCAGGCACACAAGAGCCAAATGAAGCACTTCTATTGTCATCAGCCAATTCAATGTTAAATTTTTCCTACGTTTTAGCTCTACCTCTTGGATGGCAAGACTCATCATAAAAACATAGACATAATGAACTGTGGGGAAGAATTAATGACCTACAGTTTCACAGCATTATGTGCTTTCTTTATGTTTATTCTGAAGATGCAGGTATCTCTGACAGGGCTAACATTTATTGGCCATCCCAAATTGTCCTTGAGAAGCAACATTGAGGCACTTTCTGGCATAGATACAATTGGTGTGTTAAAGGTACACCATAGTGCTGTAGGGGAAGGAGAGAGTTCCAAGTTTTTGACCAAGCTATAGTGAAGGAATGGTAATAAATTTGAGCTTTCCAGTGTCATTGGATGAGTCCAGCATGTGATTTTACACAGGCATTTAGATGGAAAAGGCGATTGCAGAAAATTATTTTATACTTTACGTATAGCAGTAGCACAAGAGGCCCCAAATTCAAATAAGTGAAATGCTAATTTATGGCAGAAGTTTCGTACTAATCAAATTGTAAAATTAACTGCAGGATAGAGTACTGGAACACTTTGATGGAGAAATTAAAATTTACAATGTCGGGTTGAGGGCAGCAAGGACCTTAAAATAATTCTGATGCCTGAATAGCTTCAATGTCTGTAATTATTGGGTGTTCCAATTTTAACTAAATTATACGTCGCTAGGTTCAGCTCCAGGGTATCTGTTACTGACAGATTTTACTGAACAATGGCTTATTCCAGTTTACAATATTTTCTCTGCAGGAAGCTGGTGATATGTATGACATGTTTCACACACGCTACACTTTGCATCGCAGAGCCTTTCAACATAGAGTGATCAACAACGTTGAAAGCATGTAAGCATTGCTGTAGGGAAGCCATACATCTCTGGCAGTTGTTTTTGTTATTTATTTTCTCTTATCTCAGCTCAAATATCCTCCTTTGCCCAGCAAGTACTGACTCTTATCTGCTTCCAGTAGTCCTTTGGAACCCTGATCCTACTTGTGAACCCAAGATAGTTTTTGCTACAGCTGGTTGACTGTTCCAAAGAGACATTTCATCTGAAGGACTGCATCTCTGACAGTGCAGTGCCACCTCAGTGCTGTGGTGGGTATCAGCGTTTAGATTTGGTGCTCAAGTCCAAGATTGAGGAAGTTAGTAACATTGTCTGATTGTTTCCTAACGCAATCCCAAGGAGAATAAAACCAACAACAGAGCACTTTTGCTTCGGCTGATCGTTGTGCAAGCTCAACCAGACTGGGGACCAACTCTGGATTTCAATTCATGGCAACTTAAAATTCTTTTGTTTTAAAGAAGCAATGTGGAAAATATTCCAATAACAGTTTTGAAAATATTTAATCCTTCAGGATCACAGAGGCGTTGCTGCTTGCAGATCCACACATTAAGATAACTGGTAAAAATGGGATTAAGTGTACAATGTCCAAAGCAATTGATGACATGGTAGCTTACACCCAACTCACAGGTAAGCATTGTTGTGTCACTCTATTGGATCTAAAGCTGTTCTTCCTTGAATCTTAAAATAAAAACCAAAAGAACTGCAGATGCTCTAAATCAGGAACAAAAACTAAGTTGCTGGAAAAGCTGAGCAGGTCTGGCAGCATCTGTGAAGCAGAAAACAGAGTTAAAGTTTTGGGTCCGGTGACCCTTCCTCAGAGCTGCAGCGATTCATTTCAATTCATCCCACTCTCCAGCACATTATTCCTTGGTTAGGCCACTATTGGAATACTGCATTCAATTCTGGACTCCTAGCTGTAGGAAAGATGTTGTAAAACTTGAAAGGGTTCAGATAAGATTTACAAGGATGTTGCAAGGATTGTTGGCTTTGCGCTATAGGGAGAGGCTGAATAGGCTGGAGCTATTTTCCATGGAGCATCGGAGGCTGAGGGGTGACCTTACTGAGGTTAATAAAATCATGAGGGGCATGGATAGGGTGAATAGCCAAGGTCATTTTCCCAGGGTAGTGGAGTCCAAAACTAGAGGGCATAGGTTTAAGGTGAGAGGGAAAGATTTAAAAGGGACCTAAGGGGCAACTTTTTCACACAGAGGGTGGTGCATGTATGGAAAGAGCTGCCAGAGGAAGTGGTGGAGGCTGGTACAATAACAACATTTAAAAGCCATCTGGATGGGTACATGACTAGAGGGATATGGGCCAATTGCTGGCAAATGGGACTAGATTAGTTTAGGATTCTGGTCAGCATGGACGAATTGGACTGAAGGGTCTGTTTCCGTGCTGTACAGCTCTATGATTCTAAGTACTTATCCAATTCCATTTTGAGTGCTAGCATTGAAGTTGCTTCCAACACTATTTCAGGCAGGACCTTGCAAGTCAAAACAACGAACTGTGTAAAAACATTTCCCCTTAATTCCACCATGTTTCATTCACCAGCTCATTTAAATCTGTCACTTCTCATTATTGATCCTCCTGCCAGTAGAAACAGTTTTTGATCATGTATTGCCTAAAATAATAACTGATGAATCTCAAAGTACGTTACAGCCAATGAAGTATTTTGAAATGAAGTTACTGCCCTGTGGTATAAATTATGGCTATCAATTTGAATTTAGCAAGCCCTCAGCAACATGAAAACGATCAGAAGGACAGATTTTTAATGATGTTGATTGAGGAATAAATATTCACCAGGACAAGAGATTAAATCTTTGGCTCTTCTAGTGCCATGGGATCTTTTAATTCTACCCAAAAGCACAGACAATCCCTTGGTGTGACTATTTCTCTAAAAAATGACACATGTGACTGTGCAACTCACTATCAGTGCTGCACTGAAGTATCAGCCTTCGCAATCTCTCAAAGTCCATCGTTGTTTTGAACAGCATGCTAAATTCTTTAATCTTCATTGCTATAAGGAGAAAAATCCAAGCTTCTCTAATCTCTCCAAATAATTGAAGTTCCTCATTCCTTGTAGCAGCCTGATAAATCTGCTCAGTTCCCTCTTCACACACTGACATCTCTCCTAATATACAGTTGCTAAATTTGTTGATGATACAAAGGTAGGTAAGAAAGTAGCTTGTGAAGAGGATACAAGGACTCTGCAAGGGGATGTGGATAGATAAGTGAACGTGCAAAGGTTTGGTGGATGGGAATGAAAATATGAAGTTGTCCAATTTGGCAGGAAGAGTAGAAAAGCTGCATTTTATTTAAATGGAGAGAGATTGCAGAACTCTGTGGTACAGAGGGATGTGAGCACCGTGGTACATGATTCACCGTAAGACAGCTTGTAGTACAGTAAGTAATTTAGAAGGCTAAATGAATATTTAATTTTATTGAAAAAGGATTAGCATATTAAAATGAGAAACTCTTGCTACAGGGCATTAGTTGGAGTGTACTAGCAGGTTCGGCCTACACTTGGAGTTCAGAACAATGAAAGGTGATTATATTGAATGTGTAAGGCCGAGTTAGGGAGATTTTTGTCTGGGAAGGGAGTCAAGATCTGTACGCAACAGGCAAGAAAGAGAGAGGTGACACCATGATTAGATCAGCCATAATCTTATTGAGTGACAGAGAAAAACTTGATGGGAAGAATGGCCTGGCTCCTGCTCCTTTTTCTTATGTTCTTATATATATTGAGAGAATGAGCCAGAAAACATTGGCGATTTCTTCTTTGTTTCCCAAAGATTACATTAATAAGATGATCACGGGCAATCGTTCGATATTAATGTTACTGATTTTTTTTGGATGGTAGAAGAGCTAACTCACTGAATGTTGCCATGGAGATGGAGGAGGGTTTGGATGTGGGCACACTGGCAGTTTTGTCACATCATTTGTCATGCTGCTTGTCTGTTGCTACTTCCATGCTATATTTCCAGAAGTAGTATTTAGGGAGTGTTACAACAAAGGGACAGCAAGCCAAACCAAATCAGCCTTACTATCACTGAATTCACAACACAGTGAAATTAAAATGGTAAATAACCCTCAAAATTGCCCAAACGTTCCTTTCTTGACTTTATGAATGACACAAACTTTATAACTTAAACAAAGTTAACAACTTACTAATACTGTAACTTTAGCAGAGCAAAGCTAAACAAGGTAATTAATTAATGCCTCTGATTTGAACCCAATCTTCTTTGATTATGACCCTCTCTCACACAGACAGATAAGACAGGCACGGCATAAATTAAACACTTCAGTGGTAAATAAGAGGACCGTAACTTTCCAGTTCACATACGCATTTTTCAATGATGGATGCTAAGATTTGATGCAATGCTTCATGATGGTATATCCTTAGAATGCAAATCATCCTGAGCTCTCCTCATCACTATCAAACCCCTCTGATATCAGCTGTGCTTAAGAGAATAGATCTATTTTGCACACTCCTATTCCTCAGCACCTGATCAGACATCAGGGAGAACAGCAAATGAAATCCAATGGGTATGAGTGCACAAGTTAGGAAGCTGTATTCCTGAGCAGACAATAGAATTAAGCCCTCTCTCTCTACTGGACATGAATTCTCATGCCAGGAGTAGCCACCCTATTGAGGTCAAGGACCTTGTTTTCAATTAGTCCTAGTAATGCCTTTCACTTCCAGAACGATCCTTTCCTTGATGTTGTCTGTTCCTTTCTCCTGTAGGATGGGGATGGCCAGTTTAATCACAGTGAAACCTTCCTGAGGATCATGATGCACATTCAGATGTTTTACTCTTGTCATTGCCTGAGCTTACCTGACCATTCTCCAAGAACAAAGATGATTTCACTCCCTCATGTGAGAGGTGGTATGAGGCACACATCTTCAAAGCTGGAACTGCAGAAACGTTAAACCACAGAGGAGCCCCTTTAGCAGCCGCACCTGCATTGGCTCTCCAGATCAACAGTGCATCTATTGCCACTCCCATGTAACCACACACATCCTTCATTTTCAGATAATAATCTAGGCCTGAATACTTTAATTGAATTAGCCTTCATCACACTGTCAGGCAGCACATTTGACACCCTAACCACTCGCTGCATGAAAATGTTTCCCCGGTGTCTACATTACTTCTTTTGCCAATTACTTTAAATCTATTTCCTCTCTTTCTTAATCCTTCCAACAATGAGAACAGTTTCTCCCTATCTACTCAGACCAGCTCCCTCATGATTTGAATACATCTATCAAACCTTATTTTGATTTTCTCTAAGGGAACAGTCCTAACTTTTCCAATGTGTCTACCTACTTAAAGTTCTTCAACCCTAGAACCATTCTTGTGAATCTTTTCTATGCCATCTCTCACACTTTCATATCTTTCCTAAAGTATGATGCCTAAAAATGGACAGTATCCTACCTGAGGCTAGTTCAGTTTTATAAAAGCTTATCATAACTTTGTTGTTATATTTTATTCTTTTGTTAACGAAGCCTAAGATACTGTATGCTTTATTTACTGCATTTTCAACCTGTCCTACAATCTTCTCTGATTTATGCATATGCACAGACACGTCCCCATATACCAGCACACTGTAACATGAAGTAAATGTTGTCTGTCCCTCTCCCTTCTCCCTAACTGCATCATTTTATGCTTCTGTCAAATTTCATCGATCATTTGTGTGTTCATACTCCTAGCCTATTGCAATCAATTATTTTCTTTCTCACTGTTTGCCACACCTACAAATTTGTATCATTGGCAAATTTTGAAATTTTAATCTATATCCACTTTGCAAGTCATTTATATCTATCAAAAGAAATTGTGGCCCTTGTAATGATTCCTTGGGGAATCTTACTGTCTATCCATACGCCAAACTGAAAACAACCACTTTCCATGACTTACTGGTTTTTGTCCTTAAGCCAAATTTTCAACCAAACTGCCACTGACCCTCCTGTTCCGTAAGCCACAATTTTGTTAACTCATCTTCTAAGTTATGTGCTTGTTACACTGAATGCTACCAATCACAGTCAACCTGCATGGTTTAAAATTTAAACAATCACCACAAAAGGGTGCATTTTGCATGGCAACGTCTCAATCAACCTGAGTCTACTTGTTAACCAACCAATCAGAAAACTCTTCTCATGCAGAATACATGATGGTTTTCTCTCTTAATTAGTATTCTTGCAAATTCTCCTGATGAGTGCAAGGCAAAAACAGTCAGGAAAATGTCTGTTTTATTCTGTATATTCAAGTGGTATTTTCTCAAACAGTTTCTTAAATGAAGAGTCCTCATGAAGGGTCCAGACCCAAAACGTCGACTTTCCTGCTCCTCAGATGCTGTCTGACCTGCTGTGCTCCTCCAGCTCCACATTTTATTGATCCTGACTTCCAGCATCTGCAGTCCTCTCTATTTCTTAAAACCCACATGGACAACATCCACTGTATTCCTTTCATCAAACCTCTTCAAAAAAAAATTGGATGAATCAAATGCAATCTATTACAAATCCACACTGGCTTTCCTTAAATAATGCAAACCCCCCCAAGTGCCTCTTAATTTTATCCCTGACTTTGAACCTTACCCACCAATGAGATTAAGCTGACCTGCACACTTTTTTGAATAAGGGTGTCACATTTGCTACATTCCAAGCCTGTGGTGTCTCCCCACTGCACTGCCCACCACCTACTGTGCCACCCCCCCCAACCCCCCCCACCCTCCCTCACTCTCGTACCTTTGGAAAATTGGTTGGTTATGATGAACTTTTTCATAGCTCATCTTCCTTTTGCAATCTGTGATGCAAACCATCCTGTCCATTGTAAAAATAGCCAAGCTTTTCAGTAAATCCTGTTGATCAGGTTTTACTCCCATTAATTCCTCTTCTATCTCCCATATTTGACATGTGGAAGTCATTTAAATGCCTACTGATCAGAGTTCAGGATCGGTATGTTCCAGTAAGGAGGAAGGACAAGAATGGCAGGTATGGGACCCTTGAATGAAGAGGGAGATTGTTAATTTAATCAAAAAGGAAAAAGAAGCATATGTAAAGTTTTGAAAGCTAAAAATCAGACAAGGCCCTTGAGGAATATAAAAAAAGTAGGAAAGAACTCAAGCAGGAAATTAGGAGAGCAAGAAAGGACCATGAAATGCCCTTGGCGAGTAAAGTTAAAAAGAATCCCAAGGCATTTTATCCACACATTAGAAGCAAGAGGATAACTAGGAAGAGGGTAGGAGAACTCAAGGATAAAGGAGGGAACTTGTGCTTCAAGAGAGAGGATGTGAGTGACGTCTTGAATGAGTACTTTGCATTAGTATTCACCAAGAAGAAGGATGTGGAGGAAAGTGAGATTAGTGTGGGGCATGCTTCTATGCTAGGGCATTTTGAAGTCAAGGAAGAATTGGTGTTACGTCTCTTGTAGTGCTTTAAGGTGGATAAGTCCCCAGGGCCCAGGTTACTGAGAGAAGCAAGACAGGAGATTGCTGGGGCCTTGACTAAGATCATTGAATCCTATCTAGCCACTGGACAGGTCCCTGAGAACTGGCGAGTAGCTAATGCTGTTCCTCTCTTCAAGAAGGGATATAGAGATAAATCCAGGAAATTATAGACCAGTGAGTCTCACATCAGTGGTTGGGAAGCTATTGGAGATAGGATAGGATTTACACGCATTTGGAAAAGCATGACCTAATTAGGGAGAGTCAGCATGGCTTTCTTTGGGGAAAGTCACATCTTAACTCGATTGATTTTTTTTGAGGAGGTGACGAGGGTGGCCAGTGAGGGTACAGCAGTGGATGTTGTTTACATGGATTTTAGTAAGGCTTTCAACAAATGTCCCTCATGGTAGGCTCATCGAGAAGATTAAGATGTATGGAATCCACAGTGACTTGGCCATTTGGGTTCAGAATTAGAATATAGAGGACAGAGGGTGGTGGTGATAGTGGAGGGTGATTTTCTGGCTGGAGATCTATGACTAGTGGTGTTCCACCAGGATCCGTACTGGGACCTGTGCTGTTTGTGATTTATATAAATGACTTGGATGAAATCCTGGATGGATGGGTTACTAAGTTTGCAGATGACACAAAGACCAGGCAAGTTGTGGATAGTGTAGAAAGTTGGCAAAGGATACAGTGGGATATAGATTAGCTGCAGATATGGGCAGAGAAATGGCAGATGAAGTTTAATCCAGGCAAGAGTGAGGTGTTGCACTTCAGGAGATCAAATGCTAAGGGAAAATATAATGACAGAACCCTTAACAGCTTTGATGTACAGAGGAACCTTAGAGTCCTAGTCCATAGCTCCCTGAAAGTGGCCACACCAGTGGATAGGGTGGTAAAGAAGGCGTATGGCATGCTTATCTTTATTGGTCGGGTTAGGAAGTGATGTTGCAGCTTTATAAAAGTTTGGTTAGGCCAGAATATTGTGTTCAGTTCTGGTCGCCACATTACAGGAAGGATATAAAGACTTTGGAGAGAGTGCCGAAGAGATTTACCTGGATTAGAGGGTACGATGTGTAAGGAGAGGCTGGACAGACTACGGTTGTTTTCTGTGGAGCAGAGGGAGCTGAGGGCAGAACTGATAGAAGTTTATAAAATTATGAGAGGCATAGATAGGGTTGACAGTCAGAATCTTTTTCCCCAGCATTGAAATGTCTAATACTTGACGGCATGCATTTAAGGTGAGAGGGAGGGGAAAGTTCAAAGGACATGTGAAGGGCAAGCTTTTTATTTAAACACAGAGTGGTAGGTGCCTGGAACGCGCTGCCAGGGGTAATGATGGAGGCAGATACAATAGGGCTTTTAGACAAGCACATGAATAAGCAAGGAATGGAGGGATATGGACCAAGGGCAGGCAGAAAGGATTAGTTTAACTTAGTGTCATGTTCAGCACAACATCATGGATCAAAGGGCCCGTTCCTGTGTTGTACTGTTCTATATGCTACTTTCTATCTCCATTTCTAATATCTTGCAATGTCGCCTTCCTAAAGGAAAGCTGATACAAGGTATTGGTTACACATTCCGAATTTGTCCTGCACATAAATTACTTTCTATGTGTTTCATAGACCTGAGCCCACCATTTAGAAATAAGGCATCCCTCCGCTTCATGCTACAGCCTGAACTCCAGGGAGGTGTTGTTAAACCATGGGGCTGCATTTCCATGACAGGGTGCCATAGAAATTTGATGTCTGGCTACAGTCACATTGATGGCTGACAGACCCCTTTAAAATGGGGACAGCCATGATTCTAGATCACACCCATTAATTCCACCTGCTGTTTTCTAATTGGACAGCAATCACAATGGAAAACCATTCATAGAAATTCTGGCAGATGTTGCATAACTATCTCGAATGGATCAGGAAGTGGAATTGGTCCCTATATTGGAATCGTGATGAACTCTGCAAACTCCAGCCCAATATTCTTAGTTAACGGCACCTTCAATTTTTGTTTTGCCAGACTCTGTCTTTGAAAACATCCTGAATTCGTCTGACCCTGCATTGAGCGAAGCACAGGAAATCCTGAGAAATCTTGTGAAGCGCAAGCTATTTAAATTCATCAGGGAAGCTCGGTTTGCAGAGAATACAGAAAATTTGGAAGTATGTATTGTGTACAACTATATTCAGCATCTGCACCTAGAAACAGGGGACTGACGTCCAAATAGTCACAGCCAGGCTTGGTACTTGGCATAAGTTGGTAGTTGGCATGATCAGTAAGCTTCACACAGTCGGGAAGGAGAGATCACATCCAGACTGAGACACTGCCCAAGGCAAATTGAAGCCGAAGATCAGGACCTGGCACAAAAGAGTGACGTCACAGGTACACCATAAGTTAATTGGTTGATGATAATTTGACTATCTATTGTAGGTTACTCTATGATTAAAGGTAAATAGGGGGAATATTTACAAACTTCAAACTAAAAGACTAGTAGGAATTTTTCAAAAAATAAATTAAGGACCAAGTCATTAAAATAGAGATATCTGGCCAGGCAATGTGTTGTAACTATATGCTGCGTCAGCTGGTGGACACCATTGAAGTTCATAGTGACCACGTTTGTAGTAAGTGTTTGTTGCTTGAGGAACTCTGGCTCAGATTGGATGAGCTGGAGTCTGAACTGTAATACATCAGGAAGGAGGAAAGTTACCTGGATGCCATGTTTCAGGAGGTAATCACACCCCTTTCATTAACCACTTTGAATTCAGTCAGTGGGTCAGGACAACAGGGTATGAGGCAGGGAGAGGAATCCAGGATGGAGTGCTGAAGGAGCCTCAGTCCTCGAGCTTTTCTAACAGTGCGTCCAGTGTGGATGAAAATGTGGGCTGCAAGGAGGAATAGCAAATTGACCCTAGCACTGAGATACAGGGATCCATTCAAGAGAGGGTAGAAAAGAGAAATGTATTTATAATTGGGGATAAGGTCAGAAATCAATGACACAAGGTTATAGTCCAACAGGTTTATTTGAAAACACAAAGTTTCGGAGCCTTGCTCCTCCTCAGGTATTAATTGGAGATAGTGTTGTTAGGGAAAAAGGCACTGTTCTCTGTGGTCAGGATGGAGGATCTCAAAAGAATGTTGCCTACCTGGTGTCTGTGTTCAGGATATCTCATCTGGGCTGCAGAGGAACTTGGGGTGGGAGGGAAAAGATCCAGTTATTACAGTACATGGAGGGACCAATGATATAGGTGGACAAGGAAAGAGGTTCTGCTGAGGGAATATGAACAGTTAGGGGTTAAATTAGAAAGCAGAACCAAAAAAGGTAATATTCTGTGCATTACTTGTTGAGCCATGGGCAAATTGGCACGGTTAAAGAGGTAAACACATGGCTCAAAGATTGGTGTGGGAGAAATAGGTTTGAATTCATGGCATCAATGGGAAAGGAGGGAGCTGTTACAATGGGACAGGCTCCACCCTAAACATGCAGGGACCAGAGTCCAGACAAATTTCATTGCGAGGGCTGTGGTTAGGGCTTTAAACAAAATAGTATGGGGATAGGTTCAGTTGCATAGAAAATTGTGGAAAAAGTTAAAGTGGGGTAGGGCTCAGCAGAGCTTACTTAAAGTTTCCAGAACAGATAATAAGACAGAGTACGGGAAGGGTCGGAAATCTCACTTCAGGCAAAGCAGATAACTGGACAACCATAAACTGGAAAGAATGCAGAAAAAATTCACAAAGATGCTGCTGGGACTGGAGGGCTCGAGCTGTAGGGAGGGGCTGAATGGGCTGGGACTTCTTGCCCCTGGAGCGTCAGAGGCTGAGGGGTGACCTTACAGAGGTTTATACAATCATGAGGGGCATGGATTGGGTGGATAGCCAAGGTCTTCATCCCAGGATAGGGGAGTCCAAAACTAGAGGGGCATAGGTTTACGGTGAGAGCGGAAAGATTTAAGGGGTCCTAAAGGGCATTTTTATTCACACAGAGGGTGGTGCGTGTATGGAATGAGCTGCCAGAGGAAATGGTAGTGGCAGGTACAATAACAAAATTTTAAAAAGACATTTGAACAGGTGCATTAATAGGAAGGGATTAGAGGGATATGGGCCAAATGGGATTAGTTCAGTTTAGGATGCTTGGTTAGCTTGGATGAGTTGGGCCTAAGCATCTGTTTCCAGGGTGTATGACTCTAAGACTCAAGTGGTCAGTCATAGCAGGACTGAGAGTGCTGTATTTAAATGTATGCAGTATACAAAATAAGGTGAATGAGCTTGTAGCACAAATTGAAATTGACAATTACGGTGTTGTGGAGATCACACAGGTGTTGCTGCAAGGGGATCAGGACCGGGAACTAAATATCCAAGGATGCACGTCCTAACAAAATAGACAGACTAATGGGCAGAGGGGCCTTGTTAGTAAAAGATGAAATTAAAATCGATAGCAAGAAATGATATAGAGTTAAAAAGATGTAGAATCTGTGTGAGTGGAGTTGAAGAACCACAAAAGGAAAAGAAACCTTGATGGGAGTTGTGTACAGACCTCCTAGCAATAGTCAGGATATGGGGAAGAAAATCAATCAGGAGATGGAGAAGGTATGTAACAAAGACACTATTACAATAATCATGGGTTCTTTCAATATTCAGGTGGACTGGAAAAATCAGATTGGTAGTGGATCTCAAGAAAATGAATTTGTGGAATGTCTGCAAGATGGTTGTTTGGAGCAGCTGGTGATAGAGCCCACAAGAGAACAGACAGTTCTCAATTCGGTGACATATAATGAGGGAGACTTGACTAGGGACCTTAAGGTGAAGGAACCTCTAGGGGGCAGTGACCATAATATGATAGAAGAATTCACCCTGAAGTTTGAAAGGGAAAAGCTGGAATCAGATGTAATGGTTGTACAATTGAATAAAAGTAACTACAAAATCATGAAGAAGTTGCTGACCAGAGCTGACTGAAAGAGGAGCCTCAAAGGGAAGATGATGGAGCAGCAATGGCAGAGTTTCACCGTAATTCAGGAGGCACATTAGAAATCCATCCCAAAAAGGAAGAAGAAACATACTAAGGGGAAGATGAGGCAACCATGTCTGACAAGGGAGATAGGAACAGCATAAAAGCAAAATAAAAAACGTAGAATGTGGTGAAGATTAGTGGGAAGCCAGAGGATTGGGAAGCTTTAAAAACCAGTAGAGGATAAGTTAAAAAAAGGGCAGAAGAAGATGAAATGAGAGTAAGCCAGAATATTGCAAGAGCTGTTTTTAGATATCTAAAAAGAAAGAGAGATTAGAGTGGACATTAAGCTGGAAAATGAGGCTGGAGAAGTAGTAATGGAGAACAAAGAAATTATGGAGGAAATTGCTACTTTGCACCAATTTTCACAGTGGAAAAAAACCAGCAGCATACCAGAACTTCAAGAGAACCAGGAGACAGGAGGTGAGTGTAGTGACCATCACTAAGGAGAAGATGCTAAGGAAGTTGAAAAGTCTGAAGGTGGATAAATCACCCAGAGCAGATGGATTACACTCCAGAGTTCTGAAGGAGATAGCTGAGGGGTTATAGAGGGATTGGTAAGGATCTTTCAGGCATCACTGAGTCATGGAGGGTCCCAGAGAACTGGAAATTGGCTAATGTAACACCCCTGTTTAAGAAAGGAGAGAGGCAGAAGACAGGAAACTGTTGGCTGGTTGGTCTAACCAAGGTCATTTGTAAGATTATTAGGGATGAGATTGTGGAGTACTCGGAAGTGTATGGTAAAATAGGGCTGAGTCAGCATGGCTTAGTCAAGGGGAGGTCATGCCTGACAAAACTGATAGAATTCTTTGAGGAGGTAACAAGCAAGTTAGAGAAAGGAGAGCTATTGGACGTGATCCATTTGGATTTCCAGACAGCATTTGACAAGATGCTGCGCAGGAGACTGCTAAATAAGAAAAGATACCATGGTGTTTGGGGCACGGTACTGACATGAATAGAGGATTGTCTGACTGGCAGAAGACAGACAGTAGGGATAAAGGGGTCTTTTTCAAAATGGCAGTTGGCGACTAGTGGATTACTACAGGGTGCTATTGGGACCACAACTATTCTCATTATAGGTTAATGATCTGGATGAAAGAACTAAGGGCATTGTTGCTAAGTTTGCAGCTGACACAAAGATAAGTGGAGGGACAAGTGGTGTTGAGGAAGCATGGAGGCTGCAGAAGTACTTGGACAGATGATGAAAGTGGGCAAAGAAGTGGCAGATGAAATACAATGTGGGAAAGTGAGGTAGTAAGAATAGAGGCGTATACTATTTTCTAAATCGGAAAGGCTTCCAAAATCTGAAGTGCAAATGGACTTGGGAGTACTACTTCAGGATTTTCTTAATGTTAAGATGCAGTTTGATTTGGCAGTTAGGAAAGCAAATACAATGTTAGCAATCATTTCAAGAGGGCTATAATACAAGAGCAGAGATGTAGTGCCGAGGCTGTATAAGGCTCTGGTCAGAATGCATTTGGAATATCGTACTCAATTATGGGCCCTGTATCTAATGAAGGATGTGCTGGCATTAGGGGGGATCCGGAGGAAGTTTACAAGAATGATCCCAGGGATGAAGGGCTGGCGGGGAATCAGACTGAAACTTACTTGTACGGAGAGGCCTGGCTAGAATGGAAATGGAAATGCTGTTTCTCCTAGGAGAAGAGACTAGGACCCAGAGGAACAGCCTCAGAGTGAAGGGAATGAGCCTTTAGAACTGAGATGAGGAGGAATTTCTTCAGTCAGAGTGTGGTTAGTCTGTGGAGCTCATTGCCACAGAAGGCTGTATGTATTTAAGACAGTGATGGATAGGTTCTTGATTAGTAAGGACGTCAAGGGTTATAGGGAGCAGGCATGAGAATGAGGTTGAGAAACCTATCAGCCATGATAAAATGGCAGAGCATTCTCAATGGGTCAAAAATCACCTAATTCTGAAATAACTTCACAGAGGCCAGTATCCCATCACCAAGTCACCCTTTATTTACACATGGAGAGCACCTGACACTAATCCAGCTCCCTCAGAGCCAACTCTCAGTGAACAGGATGTCTGACGCTCCATTCTTATCTGTCAGCCAGGGCTCCCTGATTGGGGTTGTTAATTAGCTCCAATCTGGAACTCATTTGGCTAACCTCATTACAGTCACTTCATCTCTCCCTCGG